TGTAATACCTGCTATCACAATAGCAGTGATCGTAATACCTGCTATCACAATGCCTACTTTCATAATGGCAGGTATAAAGGTACAGTGCGCCAACAGTGACGGAGCCCAAAGTGTCATCTTAGAAAACATGGTGGCACATCATGGAAGGGGGATTTTCACAGCGGGCACAGAGACTGGACCCATACGGTCTTGTGCTGCTCCCTGTCGATGACCTTCTTGACTTTTGTGCAGACGCTGGCCAGGTTGCCACCGGCGACAACATCTGTGTGAAGATGGAGAACAAGAACGAAAAAAAAGTCCCGATGTTATAAAGATATTGTGATTTGTTTATACTTTGGAGGCTGAGTGTAGACTGAAGAACACTTAACCTGGTTGGTTTACAATTCCAAAAACTGAATGGAGGCTTTTCGGTTTGCACAGTATTCCTAAGAAGGGGATGATGACAACAATGACAGTTAAACCAAAACTGGACAACGGAAGGAAATTTTCACAGAATTCCCGGAGCAGAGGGGCATCTCTACAAGGGCTTAGCCTGCAAGCCACCCGAGTAGGGATTACTTTGGGGGGACCACGTTTCCGATGACGCAAATCTCTTGACTCCGAACCTCACCTGAAAAGAGATTCCGACATTCTTGCTCCAGCTTCTGAGCGTGCTCAAACATCTCCTTGGCCACGCGGTGCGAGACACGGTCAGGGATGTAGTGGGGATCCTTCTGGTCCCTGTGTCAGAGACATAACACTTTGATTTTTACTTCACTTTTATCTTTGGGACGGAAAAAAAAGAGGTTTATCCACGGAAGTTTTTCCCAAACCAGACTGAAGGCCTCTCAGCTGTTATCTGGAAAATGACACCAGTATGCACACACCGTTTCTTTTCGGAGTAGAAGGGTAGACTTTCCTTTGTTCTATTGTTAAGAAAACTTGGACAAAACCCTCCTTTTTCTCTCACTATTGTAACTCCTTCGAGCTGGATTTTGATGACGATGTCCCACACTATACCTCTCCAATTTACCGAAGATAACCCTGACCCCAAAATGAAGTAGCGAGGGCAAAACACCCTGTGGACATGTGCTAGTCCACACAATGTCCTCTGACCCTACATTGCGTGGATGTCTATTGTGTGGAGGTCCACACTAAGCACGCCACTGCACAATACAAATTCCACAGCTTTTACCGCTGGTAACTACCAATGCTTTGTCGTAGGCCGTATTTGCGCTATGGATCACTTGCATGAAGCATGAAATTTAATGCTGGGCGAAAGGATCTATCAAACTTTAAAGTTACCTTCTTAAGCCTAGTTTTGGAATGGTAGGTCACATTTTTACAAATGAACTTCTGGAGGTACTGGTGGATTTTTAGAGGGGCTCTTCAAGGAAATAAACCCAGTCATCCTTGAATATCCATCTCTAAAATTCCCACCTTGACTTACACATGTCACTGCGTTTACTCTCAGTTGGGAGAAATCAATAGCACCTATGATCGCAGTCATGTGTTGGAAAGCACTTCCGTCCCCAAACCAACAGTGATCAAACTTTCAGGACAGTCCGACACGTGATTATCAGTATGAGATCTCTGTTTTCCTGGCTGATACCTGATTTGCTTTGCTGATTTGTAGCGGATGAAGATGACAATTGGGAAAAGCTGGAGCATCTGCAACCTCTCCGTGGCGAATGGAGACACTCCGTCCAGGATACAGTGGCATCCCTGCAGGACAGAAAGAACAGTTGTCCAAGATGTCCAACCTTTTGGAATACGCGTACGAAGTCACACTACTGCTCAACTTTCTTTAACTGCTTGCCCATGGCATTATTCCTTGTCACACTTGACCCAGTATTATTTTTGGCTGAAAATACCGACTGGTTAAAACGATAAGATACCACACCCGCAGTCAGACATCACAAATACCGACCCTTGATGGCCACTTTGCTCAAGATTGGTGCGGCTATTCTTTGAAAGGGTATTTTGGTGCCTTGTTGGTTTTTACGCTGATGAGTATTTCCATATTCATGCGCAAAAGTCTGATGACATCCCCGGAAGAAAATCTCAAAGTCACACTGATATGCGCAGTAAAAAGGCTGGATTTTTCATGTTTTACGGGCCAAAATTTCCTTTCCTTTGTTGATTCACTGTTGCTTGAGTGCACGGTAAAGACAAAAAAACAACCCTTTGTTTACAGCGAGCAAATTTTTTCCGTTTCAGTAGAAAACTACAAAAAATGAGCTGTGTTTTTCCTTACTGACATCATCGCAACAGCGCCCTCAGTAGTCTGGAGAAGCAAGGACAAGGTTTAAATACATGTACATGTTTGTAAGAGCACTTTTCAATACAGCTGACACAAGAGAGAGGTCAAATAATTTTCAAAAAGACTGAATTGAGACTAATCCATTACTTGGACTCTTCAACCCATCCCCTCTTCCAAGTGGCTCTAAGCAGGCAGAGATACACTTGCCACACGTGCGGTCACCTTCGCGCATTGGGCATAGCCTACCTTCTTGGTGATTTCCTTCACCATGGCGGCGTGAATGCATTCAAAATAACTGTCTCGTCGCTGGTAGTCAACGTAGACGTTGTCGGCCAGATCCTTCAGCATGATCTCGGACGATGTCCGGACAATTTCTGAAGATAACAGGAAACAGAAATGAAAATATTCAATCGTTCTCAATGCTTGAATTTCTGCTGCAACATTCTGGATTCGTAATTTTTCATTCCAAATCAGTTTTGCCCTTTCCCACTGACACAATCTTACTGTCTGTAAGGAATGACGTGACTTTAAAGCTTAACCCCTTCGCTGCGGGAGACGGCAAGAGCCGCGGCTTTGTGTGAGGATTAGTGCATGCCACACATACAGTCTATTCACCATGCAGCTGCTGGTTCAATGGGGCCTGCTGCTGGACAAAGCCCTCCATTCAGGGCATACCACAGCCCAGCAGTCACGGTCAAAAGAATCCCGGCGCAAGGGGTTTAAGAGACTGTCATCTCCCATTGAATCACCGGTGCCGATTAGTCTTACAGACATTTTCTTATTCACCAATGCCCACATAAACTAACTGTACTTGGAGGTTTGCACACCTGTGCCCACCTGTCAGATACTGGCTGACTGGTCCAGAGCTTTGAAAAAGAAGACAGTGTTTTCTTGATTGACAGAAGGCTCTGGGTGCTTTTAAAGTAATGGAATATGACAGTAACAGTATGGCCCTTTAAGGCGCTGCCTTGGGGGAATTTGGAGGTTTTCCCACGTTGATCCAGCATAGAACGAGAAACCATGCCAACAACGTTAATGCAGCACGCGCATTCTATTGCAAGATTCAAAGAACTAATCGCCTGTTGGGTGACACCGGGGATGATTAACATGCCGGAGGAGAGAAACGTGATGTGACTCACTTGGCAAGCATCGGTTGAATTTGTCGGGGGACTCGTCCACCATCTTGGAGGCCACCCGATCGGTCAGTGGCCCCAGGAGAAGTACTGGCCGCTTGATATGAACTAGAAGAGGGGACAGGAACGTGCAGGAAGATTACCAAACTGGCTTTAAAACATTCTGTAGAATTCATTCTGTAGAATTCATTCAAAGTCAGAAATCGCAACACCCATTTTCGAAGCCTATAGCAAAACAAGCAGCCATGTGAGAGAAGCTGTGTACATGAACACACATGTATGTATGTGCAACAACTTCCATTGTGACATAGCACAACAATTATTGTTCATGTCTGATTCTCTTTTGCTCCAACAACTAAATGAAGACATTCGCTGTCTTGAATTCAACTTACAGTCCAGCGGTTCCACTCTCTGGTAGGTTGGCAGGATGGCCTCTGTAGACAGACAAAGGTATTGGAACAAAAGTCAGGTAAGCAGTGACGATAGATTAGAAAAGATGCATGCATTCCAGGTGCCATTCAAAGTTTTTGCAGGATGAACCTCAGGGGTGGCAGGAGGATTTCTTTGTAGAGAATTGTTTGCACGAGCTCACTGAGGAGCCATTGAGATACTTGTGACCTCTTGTGAATACTTGTAAAGCCACCGAGTACATCTTAAGTACTAAGGAAGTACTAAACTAAATATTTATTATTTAGAGTACCAGTAGATTTATTGATCTCAACTCAGAAGTTCATGAGATAACTCAACTACAACAATGAAGTCTTTGATTAGTACTTGACTACAACACTTAAGTACTTATGAAATATTCATTTACAAGACATAAGTACTTGAGTAGTATTCCACAACAATGAAGTACTCATGATTACAGCAATGAAGCATGTGAGTAATGCTTGACTACAACACAGCAGCACTTGAGTAGTTACTCTATTACAATACCAAAGTACTAGTATAATACTTGACTTCAACATGGAAAAGTTCTTGAGCTATACTTGACTACAACAGAAAAGTAAATGAGTAGAACTTGTCTAGAACACTGAAGTGCTTGCTGAAACCTTGACAACAGCAACTGTGGGTTTGAAGACCGCCTACCTTCCTGGATGGGTATGTCAGACACAGAGCCCTCGCTATGCTCTTTGCCATCCGAGTTGCTACGTTGGTGCTTCTTGCGTCGGAAGAGGCTGCGCCGGGCGGGGCCAGCATTACGTCTGGAGGAGGCGCTCCTCAGCTCCTCCTCCTGCAGACCCTGGGAGATGCTGCGCTTACGGGCTTGGTCCTTCTGCAGCCTGTAGCCAGGACAAGCCCAGGTAAGTGTACTTTAGCAACCCGGTGTTCTGAACAATGCTCATTGTGTTTCAAAAGTGAGTTCAGAGTCAGTGGTTTAACCAACCCATGCAAAGATGCATTCTGCACAATGTCGTCCTATCAGTCCAAATCAAAGGACACATGATACGTCTATGCACTGGAGAGGAAGAACTGGGGATAAGGTTTGACTGTCTCTGACTGTTATAACAACTGGAGGGTTTTAAATAGCCAATAAAAAGTCTTCATGGGTGACTGATGAAGGTTTACAAGATGTCCTGAAAGCAAAATGAGAACTAGGACTTCGGGATGAAAACTGACACATCCCTGATGGTTTCCGCAACACAAACACACTGTGGAAGGTGTCATAGCACTCCTAAACTCTTGTATGCCTCATTTCCTGGTGAGCCTTTGATTTGCACGGTGAGTAATAAACACTTGCCACAAGTATGCACTTCATTGACAACGGTAAGTTGATGCTTGGGTCATGCATGACTGATCAGAGACAACCTGAATTTTTGGTGTCAAAATCGGCTTTTAATGATCCAGAGGTGGTGAGCAACGGGGCACACTTTTCCACTGATTGAAAAAGAAGTTACTGAATATGTCCTGGAACACTAATAACATTTAGTTAGCAAACTCATTCAAGCTACTCATTCCCAAAAATCCTGGTTTTTCTTCACAGGACACCCTGTCTACACAGGGCATTTAACTGGGAAGTCACAAAAAACCAAGCGTCTCCAACCTGTATGAGCTTTCAGTGAGGATTTCTGTGAGAGGCAAACAGTGCCCCAATGCCCCCGTGATCCAAGCAAAATGTCAAAACGTGAAAAATCAGCTGGTTGTATTTGTGACTTCTGTGATTTTGAAAGAGGACGCTCTTGGCTCGATGGTGAAATTTATTTCGTCTCGGGTGCTTTCAAGTGGTCCAGATGATATGCCCCAATACACACAGGCACCCAAAACTGGGTGTGTGCCATCTTTTGGTAAAACAAGGGTTAATTATAATCCTCGGCATATCACAGTGCAGAGTGCTGTTGGTATCCCCTTCGAAATCAAATAGTCCTAGTGAAATGTGCCTTTTGCTCTTTTTGAAATCATGTCTAGTGACTGGACTCAAGAGGCACAAAGTCAAGCTTGTTTGCTTGTATTTTTGGGAGCTTACCTCTGGATGACCAAAAGCAGATAACGCGTTGCAATAAAAAAGCAACACGGAAACAAGAGTGTCCACTTTGAAACCAAGGAAGTCACAGATACAATCAGTTGACTTTTGACATTTTTCATGTATTGGGGGCAAACTGCATACCTCATTCAAGCTTCTTACAAAATTCTTTATGAAGGCTTGTGCAGCTTGAAAGTGCTTGGTTTTTTTTTTACTGCAAGTTGGCCTTTATGTTTAAAACTGGATGGTATTGACTGGCACCATTTTGGGGGGATACAAAAAGAGGAAATCATCTTGAGGAAAGAAAAAAGTTTTTGCTCTGATCTATGAGCCAGTGACTTCCGTGGGTCGTGCCGCAGAGCCAAGCCCTCTTACTTACAGTGCCTTGCTGGGGATCTTCCCCCGCCGCGTTTTCTTGCCGATGGGGTCCAGCAGCCAGGCCGACCACACCCCCAGTGTGCCATTGTACATGGTGTCGTCCACGTACAGGATGTCGTCTTTCCGGAAGGTCAGCTGGTCCTCCACCTCGGCCTGGTAATCCACCAGTGCCCGGACGTACAGTGAGTCACCATGCTGGTCCCGGATCTTGTTGAACTCTGAGGTTTTTTGGGGCAAGCGTCAACGAAAGGTGTGATATAATGTTTTGCTTATTAGACAGACTTGATAGTGAATTTCTGTTGTGCTTTGGCTGGCGTAGTCAAGACACTTTGAAGCTTTATGTCCATTGATCTTATAAACTTGATGACAAATCATTCTCCAGATTGACTTCATGGAACCGTTTGCCACACCAGTTAAAGAGAATTCAAATATGTCATCTCTTTAATCTATTTTATTAGCTACGCTTTTTTACACTGTGTCCTAGTAATATTTTTCAGATTGGTGGTTTTTCCCGTGTAATTTTCTCACTTTTTAAATGACGGATGTTTAATTACATTTTTAATATCCAAGTGATTTGTAAAGCACTTTTGATTTTATTTAATACAAGCTACACTTCGGAGATGAAATGAATGTTAAATGCATAAGAAGAACAGGTGGGGACCGAAGACAAGCTTAACCACTTTATGGTTAAAATCATACAAATTATAAAACCTCTCCAGAGTTGCATGATTCTCATTGTGGCTAGCGCCATGCAGAAGGATTGCCAACTCTGATAAGAACCGTAACATTCTCCATGCAGGCAGCCATCTTGGTGGTCATTAAATGCATGAATACCCTTCAAAGCTTGCACAAGTATTAAAGAACAGCCACTGTTTTGCTCGAGTTTTACTGTTGTCACCTAAAATGTCCAGGCAGACAGAGCAACACTTTTTAATCTGTGCACAAGTCAGTGCGATCGCGTCTTGGATTCACGATGAAAATTCTTCACTCACTGGCGATGTTGTACTGGGCCAAAATGGAGACTTTCTCGGTAGGTTTCTGGAGCTCCATGGCGGCCTGTTCAGCGGTGGCACCGCGCAAGTCAACTCCATTGAACTGCAGAGGATCGCAAGGCAGAAATGAACAACATACAAGAGAAAGAAAGCTGGCATTAAAGAATGCTACTCCTTGTTTCTTTCGATCTGCCGCAACTCCCTGGCATTTGTTGGGAACTTTCCTCAAATCTTCTCTAATCCACTGCTCTGAAGGAACCTGACGGCAGATACCATGCATTTCAACCTTAGAAGGCCATTAAGCCCTTGGGAAGTCAAAGTCGCTGAGCTCTTTCCTACTAAATCCTGGCAAATTTTGAAGGATCTGGCAAGGTTAAGTGCTAAGTTTTCTTAATCTCACGGCAGGAATGGGCAAACATACAGTGACCAATCCTAAAATAACTGGTCACTAATTCTCTATTGTCAAGTGACAAATCCTCTGACTAGCAACCGAGCCTCTAATGAAAAGTGACCAATCATCTATCAAGTGATCCCCCTTCTAATGATAAGTGACCAATCCTTGGACAAGCACCACCCTCCCAGATAACAAGTGACCAATCCTCTCACAATCAGTGACCGATTACCTGGTGACAAATGACCAATCCTCTCACGAAAACTTACCAATCCCCTCGTGCTAAGTGACCCTTTCTCACCTCTAGTATGTGGTCCCCGACCTGCAGTCCGTTGGGCTTTGCTGCCACTCCGTCTGGCTGGACCTCGTAGACGAATATCCCGACCGCGTTCCCGCCAAACACCCCTACGCCAAGGCTGTTGCTGCTCTTCTCTAGGAACACAAACCGAGGCTCGCTGGGCGATGGAAGGTTCTCATCCTTGGGGACTCTGCTAGAATTGGGATAGACAAAGACTGCAAAATAATGAAAACAACAGTCTGCAGAGTACCGAAGTGAATACCTCACATGCACAATTGTGTGTAAAAGGCATTAGCGCGAGAACAAACACGTGAACCAACATGCGTCCGTACTCCATTCGTTTGTATGGCATTCACTGGTTCTAAATGACGCCACATCTACAGCACAGAATCTTATAAATTGCATCAGGATCTATCTTGTAAGTGGCACTCTCTATTGTGGGTGAGCCTTCCCCACGTTGAGGAGAAATTTTTTTTTAATGTTTGCAAAGTCTAGACCCAGTTGCTGGGACAAAAATTGTCCCCTTAACTTTCTTGGGCTGGCAATATCCAAGTTTCAACATCTGTATAGTCCCACAACTAGTGAACAAATACGCATATGCTATCTTGTCAGAAATACTCCAAAAAGAAGACCGAACCATACTCCTACTTTTCATTCCAATCTCAGAACTTTTGAACGGAAGCATCTAGGATGCAGGCACTATTGTGTCCGTAAGCAATGCATCTGACTAGAGCCAAAAGGGTTGTGGGACTCGACTCACGTGTATATCCGGCTGGCCCTGGGAGTGGGCGGAGTCATGGTGCCTGCATCCGAGCAGACTTCAGACTGGGGCCGGCTGGGCATGGGGGAGTTGGTGCGCGTACTTTCAGGTGTGGACGTGGGTGTGGCATCCTCACTGTCACACACAGAATTCCTCTGCATCTCTGAGGGAGGGGAGGTATGGGGTGGGGGAGAGATTACAAACAGGAAGGCAGTTGAGCATCGGAGCAGTTTTCTCCAGTGCAGTAAAAAAACCTGGTGTTTATGTCCTGATTCCCAGCACTTGCAACCATACCTGCCAACACTGAAAAGTCAAAAATCCGAACTGCCATTTTGACATAACAGCGCCCTCTTTTGTCTGCAAATAGTGCCCTCTTTTGTCTGCAAATAGTGTTCTCTTTTTTACCAGCGTTTAAAAATTTTTTTCTTCTTATGGAGACTGGATCATTCCGATTTTCACCCCTTTGAACAATAAAAAAATCCGAGCAGTTTCGATCAATTGGAACAGATGGCAGGTATGGGGGTCCAGGCGATGCAACCCAGCACGGCGTCAGTCAAAACTGCCCAGCCTTCAGCAGATACGGGGGTCGACAAGGGGTCAGGGGCGACTTACTTTTGATGTTGTACATGACCAGCATGCTGATGCTGTTTCCAGCCTGGCTGAGAATGATGGCCGCCTGATCGTATGTCGCTTGGCGCAAATTCAATCCGTTGAACTACAAAATGACAAAGAAAAAAAGCTGAAATTATGTTCTCAGGAGACAGCAATCGTAATCAACATTCGGCAACGGACTATCAACAAACAGTTCAGCACTTTGGAAATATCGTTACAACATGGCGAAGAGGAAAAAAAGAATCATTATTTGAAAAGAAATCTCCAGTCACGAGTGTCTTGATAAGCTGAAATGCCAGTAAGATTCTTTCTACAGCCCCAAAATACGGAGAGAAGCCAAAACACACCTTGTTCAATTAAACATGTACCTTGAAAATAGCCCAACATGTTAAATGAAAAAAAAAACCAACCACCCCGAAATCAGGCTTTTGCCTGAAATCTGACATGGGCAATTCACAATAGTGCATGCCTCCAAGAGTTTACAATGCGTTGGCCAATCACGACGAGTGAAATCTGTCGACCCCATCCGCGTTTGGAATGGGTCGACTGATTTTGTGTGTTGTGATTGGCTAATGCGTTCCAAACTCTTGGTGGCTCACTACTGTGAATCATCCGTATTGTGAAAGAAACCTTGAAAGCCCCAAGGGTGAAGGTAGACCAAAATTAGGGTCCACCCGAAGGTTGACAGTGAGGAATGTACCGGTGTGTCGACATCACTAGCACTAGAATCAGTTAACTCTCTCATGTCTGTCTCATCTTTGCTTGAGACCTGGGGCCAATTCCATACAGTTGCTTCAGCACAATATTTGCTTATGCATGAAAAAACCTTGTTTGACAAATCAGGTTACCAGCCAAAACTCCATGTGATGTATATTGTTTTGGAATGGTATTCATCTGTCGTTTGGTTAACATGACAATCGCATAGATTTTGAGCTGATAACCCTCGCTTTTTAAGCAAGGCTTTTTTGTGCTTAAGCAAATTTTGCGCTTAAGCATTTCTATGAAATTGGCTCGTAGACAAAACAGAACGAGGCAAGTCCTTTCCCTTTAGACCTTCAACTCTTCCGCACCGCTTCAGGATTTGAAAAACCTCCCAAACTGCATTCAAAAAACCTGCTTTAAGACTTACAAACCAACACCAAAAGCATCATGTACCATATGAAAAAAGTTCAATCTTAAAGCTTCATTTCTGTGACTGTATTCTCATTTTTAAGGCACCTTTTCATAAATGTGTTTTCATTTGCACCTTCTC